TGTGTTGTGGTATGTTGCCTTCAGTGGGGCGAGCTCTTCGCTCCCGTCAAGGGCATGTGGGGCGGCTTCACGGGCGGCGTGAGCAACCTCGGCAACAAGCTCCGTGGCACCAAGGCCGCCGCCCCCGCCACCGACACCAAGAAGGCTGAGTAATCAGCCTACCTACAACACACACACACCTACCAGGCCCACACACCCACACCCACACCTCCACCCCCACGTCCACACCCATACCCCACCCCAGCCACTCATTTACTTGGGTCGGTGAGTGGCTGACCGACACGCTAGCTACAGTGGAATGGATGGCCATGGATGAGACTGACTGGCTGTTCGCTTGCCCACCACTCGTGACTGACTTGCTGGTTGGGATGGTGGGGGGTGGGGAGAGAGGAAGAGCGGCCTGCTTTGCGCGTATCCATCTCACAGGGTGGGGACACACACACACACATATAGATAGGTAGACAGACATATGGGTGGGATGGATGGCGTGCCTTGTCCATGAGTCGTCTGACTGGCGCGATGCAGTGACGTGGCGTGAGGTGGTCTGTCGTGTCGTGTCGTGTGGTGACCCTGCCTGTCTGTTGGCGCGTGGCGCGTGGCGCTTGTTGTCTGGCTGGTTCGATGGAGGGATGCATGGCCTGACCTGTCATGCCTGCCTGTTGCTCCCGCCAAGGCCTGTTTTGCGCCTCTCCCTCCCTCCCTCCCTCCCTGGCCACTCACTTTGCCTGACTCGCTCCGTGTGGTGTGGTGTGGTGTGGCCTGCCTGGCATGTGGTCAAGTCCCCTCGTGTGGTCTGGTGTACATGGTTTCGGGCTGGATGATAAGAATGAATGGCTGGGGCGGCTGTGTCTGTCATGCGTAAGGCCTGCCTGTTTTCTCTCGCCATTAGTATCTCGTCAGTCTACTACGCCGGTCTTTCGTCTGCCAGTCGCTTGGTCGTCGAGCGTCGGGCGTTTTTCTGCGGATGCACGATGCCCTGCAATATGCTTCTGCGGGCGCCTCTCTAACTCTACCGATTGGGGCAGGCAGGCGGGCAGAGAGACCACCACCACCACAGACACCATTGGTACACACACTCACACGTATGCTATACGTAGCCGTCATCTTATGTAAGCGTAACCTATGGACTGGCAATGGCTCGATGGATGGATGGATGGCTGGATAGATGGATGGTGTCGGATGTCTGTGAGGGGCAGCGAATGGTGGTGTGCATCGGCGTGTGGTGTGTGGGTTGGATGGAGTGCGTATCATTTTGTGGTTGATGATGATGACCGATTTTGATTTTTCGCAGTGTGTCGTGCCGTGCCGTGGTGCGTGTCGAGTGGACGGATGGCTGGATGGGTGCCATGACGCTTGTACACGCTTGGATGGCATGCCATGGCATGGGTGGGTGGATGAATGGATGACGATGATCGATCGTGTGACCGCTGGCTCTGGATGCTAAGATTGTGAATGGATGGACGGATAGATGGATGTGATAGCTCGGCCGGCTTTTTTGTGTTGTCGATGAATGGTGAATAGGGCGGGGCCGGGAGGGGCATAACCACCACACATCACACCACCACCACACCACACCACCACACCACGACCACACCACACCACCACACCACCACCATAGATAAACACGTGTACGGCTTTAGTAACCATCAGCCACCCATCCCTCCCACCACCATCCACCCACCACCCATCAGACCACGTACTTCCTACTACCTACTACCTACTTCCTACTGACTCGTCCATTACGTGTACATCGAATGCTATGGCATGGCATGTCATGCGGATGGATGGATGGGTAGCTCGACGGGGTGTGGCCGGTTTTTCACCATGTATCTGTTACACAGACACACACACCACATGGTGTGTCAGAGAGATTAATGTCGGTCGGTCTGCCGGTTCTATAACTACTAACTAGTCTGCTCGTGTGTGTGGCCGCACTCTTGCCACAGGTGTCTTGCTCTTGATGAATGTCTGGTTGGTGCCAGTGTAGTGCGCAGACACTGGCACCAACCGGACGGTCTCGAGAAATAGACGCGCAAGGCAGGGGAGCGAGCCAGCCACACCGAAGGGGGGGGAGTGAGTGGGGGTCCACATCCATCTATCCAGACACTCAATACACACACACAGTCTGCGTGCAGTGCGGTGCCGTTGTGTGTAAACAGATATATAGCATAATCCATGCCATGTGCGGTGCGGTGCATTGCATTGCACTGAATCCATATATGTATGTATCTCATATATATGTAAGTACGTGTACTCCACGTACACACGATGTACGTCTCTATCTATCTACCGTGAGTTGAGTGCGGTGTCCACACCACATCTCGCTCTCTCTATCCTCTACCTCTCTCTCTCTCTGTCGCCTGGCCGCTTGCTGTGTGATATTGATGATGTTCGTGATGATATGCCTTGATTCTCGTGTGTTTCTCGTGCCAAACCTTTGGGCTGTCCGTCTCTGCATGCCGCAGCCAGCGCATACGCACACGTGGACACAGCACAGCACACCACAGATGGCGTGTGTGCGTGGCGTGGGTGTGGTGTGTGGATTGACTGACCCACTGGTTGTCGACCATGTCTCTCTCGCTATGTGTCTGATCACACGGCCTCTCTTGAGGACCCGTGACACCCACAGACACAACACAGAGAGCGTAGAGCAGACCGGCCGGCACGGGCCTTTTAAGGGTGTGTGTGCGATGATGGATGTATCGTGCCATGCTGGTGGTGGTGTTTGTTTTTTTCCCAGCAGTTGAATGCCCGTCTAGCCCGCTTCTTTTCCCCACCTCGTTTGCTCGCCATCTACCTACTAAGAACTGACTATCTCTGTCTCTTCCCGGTATACATGGCCCGTGGTTGGGGTATGGGATGGGTATCTTTTTCCCACTCATCGGTTTTGGCGCGGCCGCTGTATTATCCATATTCACCACCACATCATTATCATCTCTCTCTCTCTGTATCTGTATACCTACGTTACCTACCACCGCCACCCCCACCCGTCACACCTATAACATACGTATTCGTATGCTCGCTCACCCGGCCGGCCGGCCGCCACCACTTACTCTACACTACTTTACATCTCCTTGCATCTCGTCTCTATCTAGATATCGCGTAGAGAGAGCCTTTCGCGTATGGTTGTCTGTCCGTCGTCGGTCGATATGGCTTGACATGGTGTGCTTGATTGATTGAAGAGAGAGGGGGCGGGCCGAAGAGAGAACTATGAACTGAGCACGCAGGGAGGAAAGATATATCACAAGAGAGAGCGTATGGAGCGAGCAGAGCTGATCAATAGCGTGTAATAGCTAGGACGATTTCAGTCGAGCAAGCAACCAACGAGCTAAAGAGATAGACTAGAGCAACGAACGAGTGCATGGACGATATACAGACCGACACCGAACTGAGACCGAGAGCGTGCGTGCGTGCTGGTTAAAGGTGGCCCAGGGAAATTTGGCAGGAAGTGACATTGACATTGACATTGCCATTCACTGAGCAAATGAGAGAGAGTCTCACACGCACACACATTAGTCACACACACGGCCCATCACGCCATCAGCTAGCTGAGCTGTAGTGCTCATTCCAGTTGAGCATCTCCACCAGCACACCCGCCCCCTCCCCCCCACACAGAACGCCCCCCGCCACTCGGACCGTCGCACCCACCGACGCACCAAACGCCTCGCACACGCGCTGCAGGCGCGACCCCACCACTGCCCGCCACTGGTGGCTGTACGTGTGGGTGTGAGAGGCCGTCAGCAGCAGCTGCCGCAGCTCGTGGATCTGGTGCAGGGCGCCCTCGGTATGTGCTCGCAGGGCTGAGAGGGAGGGGGAGGGGAAATCGGGGTGGTCGGCGAGGAAACACCTGACAGACACCCACGCAACACAACAGACAGACAGACAGATGGCGCCTGTGTGTGGCCGCGCGGCCGTAAGTACCTACCGTGCTGCGATCTCCTGCAGGGTGTGTCTGTGCAGTGCGTGCAGCTGCTTGAAGGAGGTGCATCTGCGTGTGTGGATGGCGGCCGTCATGCGCCTCCACGGGGTGTGGATGGCCTCGTGCATGAGGTAGTGCGACATGCCCCACAGCCACTGGTGCATGGCGTGCCGCACCACCACCACACGGCGGTAGAGGACCGCGTCCGACCGGACCAACGACACGTGCTGCTCGCGGAACCAATAACCTACCTGAACACACACACACACACACACAGGGCAGACGAATGCGCTCGATTTGGTGTGCATGGCGATATGGCTGCACATGTGCCCCACATCGCGAAGGTCGTTTTCGGCGCTCTTGAGCAGTGCGAGCAGCCCAAAGATCATGTTGTAGTACTCCTCACTCTCCTGGCGACAGACAGACCAATACACACGCATCGCATACACGCGGTATGCATATATGCGATGTCCCGTGTGAGTGTGGTCGCCCCACTCACCTTATCAATGACCAGCGAGAGAGGGAAGGGCGCCATCAGCCGCACCCTAATGCACTCGAGCACCGTCCATGCCGGCACACACGGCACAGACGGCGGCACCTTCACCACGTCGAAGTACACCACCGTCTCCGTCTCACTGTGCTGCTGTGGAGGTGTCTTGGCGTGTGCGGCGAACATCTGGTTGACGCGTGACTCGAGCAGGGTCTTGTTGCCGGTGCTGCTGGTGGTGGAGTGGCGGCAGGTGGCGAAGAGGGCTGTGGCGAAGGCGGACATCTCGGAGGCAGCACCAAACAGCAAGTGCTGATGAATGGATAAATGGACGGATGACAGACAGCACAGAAAGGTGTGTGTGGCTGTGTGGCTGTGTGTCTGTGTGTGTGTGTGCCGACCACATGCACTGACTCTACTTACCTGTTGGATGTATTCGAGGTATCTCCCCAGCTGCCATCTGTCCACCAGGGTCTGCACGGCTGCAGCGTCAGCAAGAGCGGCTTGGGCATATATCGGCTCCAGCAGGTCCCTCTCCACAATCGCACCCAACTCAAACACAGGCACCCTCCCACCATCAGCAGACACCCCCCGCCAGCAGAGCGCCTTGGCCGCGCTATGCTGGTGGTCCGGCTGTGTCACTGTTGCTGTTGCATGGTGGGTCTTCTCGATGTCCGTGTGTTGGTGTGTGTGCTGCTGCGCCACTGTGGCTGCGGCTGCGGGTGGTGCGATCGGCTCTTGTGGTACGCCAGGGGATGTCTGGACGGCTCGTGGGGATGTCGGCTGTTGCTGGGCAGCAGCAGGGGGAGGGACGTGGGCCTTGGAGGGAGAGGGAGGTTCAGCACCAGCAATGTCACCCTGACTGTCGTCACCATGAACGTGCTGGTGGTCCTCCACGGCCACGTCGTCAGCTTGCTCTCCGCCACATTGCTGCTGCTGCTGCTGCTGCTGGTTGGTCTCTGCCGGTTCGTCAGGCTCCTCCTCCCACACACGGAAGACAGACACCCCATCCACACGCCCACTCTCCCTCTCCGCAGCACCATGAGTGCCAATACTCCGTGTGCCTTCGATGCAGGCCGACACGCCGTCAGATCGATGCACGCCGCGCGACAACACACCAGTGGGCTCGCCAGCAGTTTGTGTGGATTGCGGTTGCTGCGTGGTGGATGGAGGGGCGAGAGCGGGGAGCGCTGCTGAGTGTTTGACGAGGCCCTGCGAGCGGAGGTGTTCATGCCTGCCGACAGAGACACACCACACAGCACAGGGAAGGGAGACGGTGGGGATCCGATCCATGTGTGTGTGCGCATGTTGGTGCCATGCCATGTGTGTACCGTTTGTTGGCGAGTCGAAGTCTCTTGAGCCGCCACTCGAGCAGACGATTGGCCGCGTCCAGGCGACCCATCTCACCCTGACACACACATACGAAGGAAGAGGCAACATGACGATTGACTCCCTCTCCCGCACCCCTGTCTGTCTGTCTGTCTGTTCTCCCCGCCCACTCACTGACCGCCTGGTGGTCCAGCAGGTGACGCCTCGCGTCCTCCACATCGCTCTCACTCACGCCAAACAGACCTCCACCACCTTCAGCACCATCCCCAGCACCGGCACCTTCCTCCCTGGCCCTCCTCTGTTCTTCCAGCTGCGTATCGAGCAGCTGACGCTGCACACGCTGCTTGGCCGCCGCCTCCACGCCATCAAATGGGTTGCTGCTGTCGAACACACCCTCCTGCAGCCTGCTCAGGAGGGCTGTCTCAGCTTGGCCACTGACGCCATCGTTGTGTGGAGGTGGTTGGGCATTGTCGATGTGTCGGAGGAAGGCATCTTGGATGGCGGCTTCCTCGTCGCTGTCAATCTCAATCTCTTCCTCGCTCTCAGCATCCTCCAGCTCCATTGTGAGCATGGGCTGCAGGTCTTCCAGATGCACCGCCGCTGCCGAGCTGTGCTGCTGCTGCTGGTCGACATGGTCTCCTAAGGTGGCTGCGTGTGTGAAGAACTGCCGGGCTGCCTGGCAGTCCATCAGCTGCAGGGGGCCGGCCGCCCACGTGCTGGTGCTGTGGGGATGGGGGCAGGGGGAGGGCGCCAGTGCAGGCAGCGGCAGATGATCCGGGTGCCGGATCGTCGATGTGAGTGGGTCGACACGTGGCACCACCAGGGGCACCAGGTCATAGGTCACCTCATACACCGCTGCTGATGCTGACGCTGACGGGGCCGCGACTGTTGGTTCTATCGCCAAATTCTGCTCTCTCCCGACCTCTCTGTCGCTCACCTTCCCCCTCGCCCCTCCCTCGGCTCTTATCCTCTTGTTGTTTCTCGGTGCCGCCTTCTGTGGCGGGATGCTGGTGTGGCGAGGTCGTGTTGCTGCGATGTGCCGGAGGAGCCATCCGGCGGTGGTGATGGCCTCCCCGGCGGCCTGCATGAAGGACGGCAGGGCCAGGGGGGCCATCTGCCAGGGGAGATGGGAGTGGGAGGCGTCGAGGAGGGGGGAGGGGGCGGGGCAGAACTCGCCACACGGATCATCCAGCTGCGCCTGACACATGAAACAGAGAATAGTGCATTATATTTGCAGTCATCGTATGTGCAGGTCGTGCCGCGCCGGTCCCATCTCACCTGGAAGATCCATTTTGACACGAAGGCTACCAGTGGATGCACACATGCCTCAAACAGCTTGATGGCAACACTACCACCATCAACACGGCCGCTGTCACCAGATGGTGTGTCCGGGGGCGTCTGCCGCGCCACGTCGAAGAGATACGACAGCAGGCACGCGCCTCGGGGGAACTGCCAGCGGCCCTGCTCCTCCGATTGCGCAAGGGTGGGCTCGTCAAGGCGGCAGATGAAGGTGAGGAAGCGGAGACGATCTTCCCACTCACACACGTGGGCTGAGGGAGGAAAGAAGGAATCAATCGTGGTGTGGCGTATCATGGTTCTCTGTCCTGTGAGTACCTGTGAGCGAGAGTGGCGAGAGGTGGTCTTCCTGTGGTGCCAGCTGATTGACAACATAGGCGTCGAGCGCTCGCAGCTCGCCACACACGCCCATGGCAAACGCCTGATTCATGAATGAATGGATTGTGTCGATGGCACCGCACCGCATATGTGTGTGTATGTGTGCGTGCGTGTGTACCTGTAGAGTGCGCCCCCATTGCGGTGCATCGGGTGACACATCCGGTGGGCTGGACAGCCTGTGCCCAAAAGAACGAAGCCGCCGGAACATCGTTCCAAACCTGACACAGACACACGAGTAGAGTGGCCATGGGTGGTTGTTCTCCCCGAGTGCGATGTGTCCGTCGGTGCTTAGGTTACTCGGCCACCGAACGCATGACGGCGCCTATGGCCTTGCCCTGCCCTTCTACAAAGGCCATCTCCCTCTCCAGCTCTCCACCCGCCTCAGGCCCCTCAAGCCGCAGCCGATCGGCCGGCAGCCACGGACACACACCGACACCCATGGCCACACACGACACTCCCACATCCACGGCCGCAAGGCCCCCTGCTGCCACTGTGTCCGTGGCCTTGGGGAAGGATGACGATTCGACGCCCCTCATGGCCATGAGCATGTGTCGGATGAGCAGCTGGAAGGGCCGGTTGGTGTGCGCCTCGGCCGGCCAAAAGAAGCTCCGCACCAGACTGTCCACCGACGCAGTGGGGGTGTCGTTGCCCTTGTCCTTGTCCTTGTCGGTGGTCTCTCCCCCCGTCCAGCAGCGCCTCATGGCTCCCCCCGCCGCACCCTCCAGGGCAGCGCTCACCATCAGTGCCTTCGGCACTGTCCGTGTGCGGCCAGGCAACGGGGGCACCACCACATTCTCCTCGCCAAACACGCTCACACGCCCGTGCCCGTTTCCATGAGCAGCGGCCTCAGCTGTGTGTGCAGCTGCCGCCGCCGCCGGTGCCACCGGCTCGCTGACCACGAGTGCCGGGAAAATGGTCTCCCACGGCAGCCGGGCAGTGATGCAACTTCTGCTGCTGTCGCCATCGGTTGTCTGGGCTGCTGGCGGGAGGTCGAACGAGAGGGGCGGCGCGCGCGGCGTCCATGGCAGCTCGATGGACGGCTGTTTTGGCGCTGGTGGTGGTGTGTGTGGTGGCAGGGGTAGTGGGTGTCTGTCGGTGGGCGGCTGTGTGGATGGGGCGGTTGAGAGTGAGAGTGGCGATGCAAAGAGGGCCAGGCCCATGGTGTCGCCGCTGAGCAGGGGGAGGGTGGACGACAGCCATGACGATGACGCATGGCGGGGCGCATCTGCCAAACCTGAAACACACAAGGGATGAAAGAGGACAAGGGAGGGCATCGACACATGTGTGGTGTGTACACACCACACCAGACGACACCCATCATCCCTCATGTCTGTCTGTCCTTACTTGTGGTTGTGTCTGCTACGGGGAAGAAGTCCATGTCGACCAGCGCGTCATCCCTCTCGCCCCACTTGTCCTTGAGCAGCCTCAACCCACCCACGCCACCGTCACCCCCACCGTCACTGCCCTCCCCCCCACCAACCACCCTCCCCAGCAGCAGCAGCAGCCGCATCATCGCATCCCGCTCACCCACACAAACACCGCCAGCACCGGTACCACCCATTGTCAGACTCCCCCATTTCTCAATAGCTGCGTCGAGCCTCCTGGCTGTGCGATGGTCGCCCATGCACTCGAGAGTCAGCCGGTGCGACCACAGCAGCTCGTCTGTCGTGAGCGTGCCGGCCTGGGTGTCCGTGTGGGTGTGTGGCGGGGTGAGCAGGGCCTCCCAGATGGAGGGGAGGCCGATGGAAAGGCATGGCTCGTCTGTTCGGTGGCTGTGGATGGACGAGAGGCCCTGGACGAGGGAGAGGACGCTGGCAGAGGGGCAGGGATGGTCCATCTGGCGGTCACGTCACTTGTGTGCCGCTTGCTGCTGCTGTTGCTGTTGCTGTTGCTGCTGTTGCTGTTGCTGTTGTTGGGGCTGCTGTGTCTTCTCTTTCTCCAACTGTTTCTTGTCGAAGCACTGCTTGAACACAGCCAGCTCACGCTGACACTTACGCCAGTCACTGAATGAAACCACACACACACGCATCCACACATCCATATGTGTCAGATCTATCTATCCATTTGCCATGTCATGCGGTGTGTGTCCCACCTACCGGTCGTTGTCGACCATGCAGTCGTCGAGCTTTTCGTATTCCTTGCCGCAGCCGCTCTTCTCTATCTTGTCGTCGACGTCCTCGTGCTCATCCTCCTCAGCGGCCACAGTCGACGCCTGCGATGCCCTCGGGTCACGCTGCATCTTGGGGATGGGACATCGATTGGCGTGGAGGCAGAAGGGACGGAGGGGCAGCTGCTATGATATGAGGGAGATGCTTGTGGCTTTTGATTCGAGACTTTGGGGCAGTGATCGGCTCGCACTGGAGCACTCTTGAATTCATTGCATGTCTGTCTATATGTCCGCCCCCGCTACAGCTACACCATTCCTCACTCACTCCTTGGTCTTCTTGGCCTTTGCCTTGGCGGCCGGCGGTCCGCCCACAACATTGATCTCTGTGGCTGACCTCTTGTGATTCACACCACCACCCCCACCCCCACCGCCACCGGCACCATTGCCGCCTGCTGCAGCAGCGGCAGCAGCACTACCGGCCTCACTGGTCTGTTTGGCTTTGGCCCTCGCCTTGCTCTTGCCGGCTGGCACACCGCTGTTGGTCTTGCGCGGCGGCATGCGTGTCGCCAGCGGCTGATCTTCATCCTCCACCGCGGCCGCCATTTTGACGTCTGGCTGCTCTGGCACAGCCGCCTTGGGCTTGGGCTTGGGCTTGGCCTTGGCCTGCTTGGCCTTGGCGGCAGCCGCTGCTGGCGCTGCTGGTGCTGCCGCTGGTGCTGCTGCTGGTGCTGCTGCTGGTGCTTGTGAGGGCGGTGGGGCTGCTGCTGGTGGCTTCTTGGCCGCCTTCGCCTGCTGCAGCTGTGGCATTGCCGGTACTTCCGGTGCAGCAGCTGGCGTCTGCTTGGCCGCGTCACCCTCGCCGCCCGGCTGCTGCTGCTGCTGCTGCTGCTGTGTCTTGTGCTGTTGCTGCTGCTGCTTGCCGACGGTAGATTCGTTGCCTGAGGGTGAGTCGGAGGGCAGGGTGCCGCTGGGGGAGGGGACGGGCACGGGCACGGCTGGCTGCTCGACGGCCGGGGTGGTCTGGGTGGTGGTGAGGGTTGGGAGGAAGGCATCCGGGACCGCAGAGGGGAACAGAATGTCCAGTATCCACTCTGTTCATCACACCACACCACAGACACAGACACACACACGAACGACCATTCATTCATTCATTGGCAGGCTGGTCTCAGTTTGTGATTGTTGAGAGGAGGGATAGGAGAGGAGAGGAGCATACCGTCAGGCGTGGCATCTTTGTCGTGTGAGAGGACGGCGAACCAAGGGGAGGGCAGACCCGGCGAGAAGTACGAGTCGTCCTGGCCCTGGCCCTCTTGACCACCTGACACATCCTCCTGGGGCCCAGCAGCTGATGATGACGATGGCGATGAGGATGACGGGGATGATATGGCCGACAGAGCGGGGTAGGCCACCCTGTGCTCCGGGCTCGCATACAGCTGCGGAGACATGCATGGCAGGCAAAGACGCCATCAACGGAATGGGTGTGGTTAGCTTTGAGTACTCATGAAATCACGAGTGAATTGTGTGGCCGGCTTACGAGTAGGAGCACTTTGTGGTAGGCAGCCTTCCCCTGGAGGGACTTGTGAAGCCGCCTGCAGGGAGGAACAGAGGGATGCATGGAGGAAGGGAGGGAGGGAGGGAGGACACCCACACAGAGGGACAGATACAGGTACAGACATCCACCTTCGGGATGGGTCGGTCGATGAGTCACTCACTCACTGACTCCCTCACCTGATGAACTGTTCGTTCATCATGTCTGTCCGCCAGGCCACCACGCGCCGATCCATGACGTGAGACGCCGGCACAGTCCTGAGTGAATGAATGAGACGCCGGCACAGCCCAGCCACAGCAAACGAATGAATGATACGAACGACACGGACACTGCCTGGCATGCCATTCACCAACCAACCCAGTGATTTTGATGGCTCTCCCGGTCACCGGGGGCATACACGACGGCAGCTCCAAGATACGGCCTGCATGGCATGCAATCACACAGACCCACACACACACAGACACACAGGTACAGACATGATTCCGCACACGCGTCGTGTGCACGACCAAGTGAGTCCCTATTGTGTGTGCACCCACCTGTTTGTGTGTGTCTGATGGGTGTGAGCAGTGGGTCGGGTCTCAGGCTGAGTGACATCCTCACTCTGTCCCACACCACCGCTGCGGCCGCCGGTGACGCGCTGTTGGACAGCGGGGGCAGCGACACATCCAGGTGATGCACTCCGATGGGAACTGCACACACCAAACAAGACACGAGAAACATACACGCGTGTGAGGCTGGACTGGCCTGTAATGTAAAGGCAGACCGGTGCTTGGCTCACAATGTGTGTGCACGAGTCGTTTGGCCGCGAGAACCAGGTCGTGTCGCATGTCAGTGCGGCCCTCGGGCGAGTCCTTGACGAACACGGGCAGGGGGAACAGACTCCGGCACGCCAGACATGCACCCTGTCAAGTCAAGCCAACACACACACACACGCACACACACACACCAACCACAGTCACCAAATACGAGTGCGGAGACTCCTTCCATCCCACCCACCGCACCTGCCATGTGGGGTTTCCTTCAGGCTCAAGCAGCCGTATCTCGAGAGCCACACGGAAGTGACTCGGCACAAAAGGCAAATCTGACAAACAAAGACAACACACACACATACACAGCAAGCCAATGAATGTTCTTGAAGTCGGCAGGCAGGCAGTCCTTCTTCTCTCACTTTGCCCGCTGGCCAGCGTCTCGATCTCTGTCTTAAGACGTGACACTTTGCCCTCCTGGCTGCCTCCGTCCTCCATGCCCTTCGTCCAGCGATCAACGGCACGCGGCACATCCACCAGCCAAAACACAGTCACCTGCACAACAACCCAACCACACACACACACACACACTCACACGGACAGGCACTGTGCGCCAATGGTCCCTCCCCCTCTCCCTCTCCCTCTCCCTCTCCTCTCCCCTCTCCCCACCTGGTGCTCTCCTTCCGTCTCCCTCCTGGCCCCATTGACCCTCGCCCGGTGTGTTAAGTGACTCGGCAGCGACTTGAACGCACCCTCAACCACCTGCATCACAGCCGCCATCGCGCCCGAGTCGCTCCAAGCGTTCTTGAGGACGATATGGTGGATGAGAAGGGCCGTGAGCTGGCTGACGAGGAGCGAGTGGACGTTGGCGGCGGGGGTCTGCTTGGATGGTGTGGGGGGTGTGAGTGGGAACCAGGTGAAGGTGGGCGGCAGGGCGGGTGAGAGGAGGGGCACGAGGCACATGTATGCGGGGTCTGCGAAGCCGCCCTTGCCCTTGGCCACACACAGGTCCGTCTGAAGCTCCTTCAGCACTGCACAGCACACACACGCATAGTCAGACAGACAGACCAATCGAGCGACCAGATCAAGAATACCATGGACGAGTGCGTGTGTAAGTGGTGCGTCCTGAGCTGCCTGCTTGTCGCTTCGCTTGATGCACTTGATTCTGACCTTTGGCCAGCGTGCCGTCCTTCATGAGCAGGTCTTTGAGCGCTGCTTCGGGCCATGCAGATGGCGTCAAGTCAACCAGCACTATCACACTCGACATCCTATCCTCCCACATGCGCCAAAGCAACGAAAGTGGCAGCGAGGATTGGCGTTCGGCTCGCCAAGCTCGCCAACCACGAGAAGCGGAGAAAAGGGCCTTGTAGCGTTGCCCAGATATCCAGCCGTCCGCAAGATGCTGAGAAGAGCCATTCTGCGCGGGCAGATCTGTCTGCTGGCGTCGCTGGCAGTGCTGCTGCTATGGCAGCTTCCGAGCAGCGGTGTGGTTGGTCTGGAGACGGGCGAGCAGGTGACAGTGAGCATGAACAAGGTGTGGCCGATCAACAACCCCACTGAGATGTACCCGTACTACTCGCTGCCCTTCTGCACGCCGCCCGAGGTGCAGACCAAGTACATGACCTTCGGCCAGATCATGAGGGGCGACCGCCTCGTCAACTCGCTCTACAACATCAACTACAGAGGTCAGACAAACACACACACACTGACCGCACAGCGCACACAGACACACGGTGGTGGGTGTTTTGGTGTGTTGTGTGTGTGTGTGTGTGTGGCAGAGAACCAGGAGCGCAAGCCGATATGCGAGAGGGCGCTGAGTGAGGACGACGTGGACGCCATGCGCAACGCCATCGAAAACTCTTACATGTTTGAAATCTTCGTCGGTACGGATGGATGGATGGCCACACACACACACACACTCCAATGGAAATCAACCTTGCAGCACAGCATCAGCTGTGTGTGGTGTGGTGTGGTGTGACCGCCTTGCAACACTCACTGCAGCTGATTTGCCGGTGGTGCGTCCGCTGGGTATCCGCACCAAGGAGAACGGACAGATCAAGTGGGCATGGCGCGCAGCAGACAGACCGGCAGACAGACAGGGAGCGTGGATGCGCGCGCGCGCGCGCGTGTGTGGTTGTGTGGTTGTGTGTGCTGGTTTGGTGCGTCAGGTACTGGTTGGTGAACAACATGGATTTCAATTTGGGATACAACGAGGGTCAGGTGGTGGCCGTCAACATCACCACCGACGTCGACCTCTTCGACATCACTCAACACAAGGTAGGTGCACGCGCAGGCAAACAAACAGACACACAGACAGACAGAGGGTACCTAGCCACACGTGTGTATGTGTGTGTGTGTGTGTGTGTATAGGATGGGATGAAGGCGCAGTTCAGCTACAGTGTCAACTGGTTCCCCTCGACCATTCCCGCGTCGTCCCGACTGCAACAGTAAGTATGACAGACAGACAGCACTCACACACACACACACGCCCTTCCTTACACATGTGCCGATCCGTCTGCCATGGTGTCATGGTGTGTGTGTGCAGGCAGCTGGCGGGCAGCTTCACGCACCATACCCAGTCGCTCGACATCCACTGGCTCGCTATTATCAACTCATTCGTCCTGGTCAGTCAGTCAGTCAGTCGGTCAATCAAGCGATCGATTCGACCAACTCACATCATTCCTGTGTGTGTGTGTGTGCGTGTGTCAACTGCAGGTGCTGCTGATCGTATCGCTGTTGCTGCTGATCATCCTGAGGGTCGTCAGATCAGACCTGTCCAAGTACGCAGGCAGACACAGACGGGCACTGCACAGACAGACAGAAAGGAATGAAGTCGAGAGGAAGAAACAAGCACTGACTGACCATGCCGGCCATTCATATGATATGCCAAATGTAATCCCTTCCTTCATTGCAACAATGCCTGTAGATATCTGCACATCCCTGACGAAGAGCTCACAGCAGGAGGTGAGGTACACACACGCAGAGAGAGACGGACGGACACGCACCCTCTATTCCTGTTTGTCTATCTGTGTCTGTCTGTATGGCGTGGATGTGTGTGTGTGTGTGTGTTTAGGTGAGGAGGAGTCGGGTTGGAAGCTGCTCCACGCAGACGTCTTCAGAGCGCCGCAGCACAGGTAGGTCTGTATGCCGTAATGTGTGTCTGTGGTGGGGTACACATCCACCCCATCCACTCATGCCTGTCTGGGCCTGTGTGTGTGCCTGTGAGTAGAATGTGGTTCTGCGCCCTCGTTGGCGCAGGGGCCCAGCTCTTCCTCATGGTATGTGTTAATTTCTGACACACACACTTACACCTTGACTGATACACCACCAGCTGGTGGAACGACCGATCTTATGCGTGTGCATGTGTGTGTTGTGTGCAGGTGATAGGGACAGTGTTGGTGGGGACGTCGGGGCTGTATCTGTTCGAGAGGGGCGGCGTGCTCACCTTCGCCTTCGCTACCTTCCTGGTCACCGCATGTAAGCCTCACACACACACACACACACACACACACACAGACACACACACACAGAGAGAGAGAGAGAGAGAGAGAAGTGTGCTCATCCCTTCCACTGTGTGTGTGGCTGCCTGCAGTCTTGGCTGGTTACTTGTCAGCGTGGCTATATCGCAAGCTGGGCGGCCAGAAGTGGGCGTGGAACATCGTTATCACCGCCATGATGTTCGTGGTACGACACGACTGCTACTCGACAGACAGACAGACCCACACACGTGCGCCTCTCTGTATGTGCGTTTGTGTGTGGTGTGCAGGGCCCTCTGTTTGTGATCTGGTCGTTCCTGAACAGCGTCGCGTGGGCACACCAGTCAGTATGGCACCTAAACCACACCTCTGCCACACACAACACACGCCACGCGGCAATGGATCGTTTTGTTTCTTCAGATCGACAGCGGCGCTGCCCTTCACCACAGTGATCTTCCTCTTCTTCTCCTGGTCATGCGGTCAGCAAACAACACAAGCAGCACCCATCCCACCCGCCACACACACACACACACACACACACAGAGAGAGAGAGAGAGAGACACCCCACACCAACCCACGCAGGCACCCATCTCTCTCTCTCTGTGTGTGTGTGTGGTCTTGTGTGTGTGGGGGGGTCGGTCTATCTGTCGATCAGTGACGGTGCCGTTGACGGTGTTGGGTGGCATTATGGGTCGGTCTAACGCGGCCAAGTGGGTGGATGCTGGCCAGGCCTTCCCGTGCAAGACCAACAAACTGGCGCGGGAGATACCCCAGTGCCACTGGTACCACGCACCCCTCGCACAGATGTTCGCCTCGGGCTTCCTGCCATTCAGGTATGTCAGCAGACAGACAGACAGACAGATATACAGCAGTGAGTGGATGTGTGTCTGTTGTGGTGTGGTGTGGTGCTGTCTGTCTGTGTTGTGGTGCAGTGCGATATACATCGAGTTGCACTATGTGTTCTCGTCTGTGTGGGGTACCAAGATCTACACCCTCTACGGCATCCTGCTGCTCACCTTCGTCATGCTCCTACTCGTCGCATGTACGCAACCAACCAACTAACTAACCCAGCCAGCCAGCCACTCGCCCGCCTCAGTCAGTTCTGGGCACCTTCTCTAGCTCTGCCTGTGTGTGGGTGTGGGTGGTACGGGTGTGTATGTTGATGTGTGTTTGTCAGCGACTGTGTCGGTGCTGCTGACGTATTTCCATTTGAACGCTGAGGACCACAGGTGGTGGTGGAGGTCTTTTGGGAGCGGCGGGTCAGTACACACACGCACACACACACACACACACACTCACACTCACATACACCATCGAGTGCCTCCCTCGTGGATGGTGTAAGTGGTATGTCTGTTTGTTTGTGTGTCTGTTCAATCAGGTCCGTGTCGTTGTTCTTTTACGTGTACTGCATCTACTACTTCTTCACCAGCACACGCATGTTCGGATTCCTACAAGTGAGGATGGACAGACACCCACATACAGACAGAGCTCTCTGTGCCGCCATCCCATCCCTTCGTGTGTACGTCTCTCTCTCTCTCTCTGTGTGTGTGTGTGTGTGTGTGTGTGTCAGTGTTCCTTCTTCTTTGGGTACTCCCTCCTCGTCGCGTGGGGCATCTTCCTGGTCAGTCAGTCAGTCAGCCCACAGCCATGCCCTCACCCAACCAACTCTGTGTGTCGACGTGCGTGTGTCGTGGCATTCATTCATTGGTCTGTCTGTTGATTTGTCCGTCCATATGTCAGATGATGGGCTTCGTCACTTTCATTTCCAACTTTGTCTTCGTGGTACACACACCACACCAACCACCACACCACACCCACACGCATCGCACACACACCCTACCTAGCGTATGTGTGTGGTGTAATGTGTGTCAGAACTATATCTACTCACGGATCAAGTCGGATTGAGGCAAACACGGCACGGCCTCCACCACCACCGGCCCCCCCATCCCCAGACCCCTCCCCTCCCCCCCCCTCCCCCCCCTCC